TTCGCATTTGAGTTGAGGATTAAAGCTAAGGAGGAAGAAGTAGAAAAATCGTTTCATGACCCCTTTAATACTGCTGCCGCACTCCGCTCGACTACAGCGTAGTTATTGGCGGCGAGATGATTTGGTGGCGCCCTCCTATGGTTCCCTCTCTCGTGAAGTCATTGCCTTGCGAACAACAAGGTCGATGGTGTTTATAAATAACATGGTAGAAGCTTGAAATCATCGCACTCTGAAATTGACACTGCCAACACCGTCAAAATTGAAGTTCCTTCCTAACTTTTATCTGCGTCGATAAAAAATATTTTGCTGACGTCGTAGTAAGCATTCGGCCAATCGTGACGGGCCGACCACAACGACCCTTTCGATCGCTTACGTTGCCAAAAACGCAATCTTAATACGTTTCCATTATAGTCCATGCCTCATGTAACGTCACAAGCTTGTATGGTGTCAACTCTTCTTCATGGTGATCTTTGTGATGTGACGCGCGAATACCGCGGAGCCAATAGCATCATAGTGGTACACCGCATTCGATGTGCTCAAGCACTGGCTCGAGTGACGCTGTCACCGACTGTTTGCTTCACTGGACGCCGTCTGCACCTTATTGAGTAAATAAATTAATGCTGAACAATGAAATTACAGCTTCATAGTCGGGTTTATTCGGGTACAAAATGTAGCGCTCTTCGCATTCCTCCCTGTTTCCATCAATTGCACAGTAAGCGAGGTAGTCAATCTACTCTTGCGTCATAGAAAAGGCAGTCAGTAAACACGAGTCACCACAATGTCCGTGGTTTGAATGCCGCGTATTGAGTTTCTCATTTATTTATTTATTTATTTATTTATTTATTTATTTTACCCTCTGGGTCAAAGGCGTTACAGAGGGGAGTGCGTTAAAAAAAAAACACATAGAAAAAATACACAGCAGCAAAACGGCAGAAGGACTATAGTTCTGTGAAGCAACACATGTTAGTTAAGGCATTTCTAAAACTCTTACTGTCCAGGATTTCGGCAACATCCATGGGAAGGTGATTCCAATACAAACAGGTGCTGGGAATAAAGGAATGATGATATGCGTTAGTCCTGCAGGATGGAATGCCAACTTTGAATCTATGATCGTTCCGTGCTGAAAGATAATGGGGTTGTGTTAGGAGCCTTTGCTTGAGATATGAATTATGATGATATATTTCGTGGAACAAACACAAGCGAGACAATTTTCTGCGGATAGAAAGATTTGGCAAGGATAAGCTGGTTTTCATTACGGTTACGCTGGCGGTACGATGGTAATTGGAAAGAATAAGGCGGGACGCACGATTCTGGACGGATTCTAATTCAGAAATGAGCGATTCAAGACCGGGGTCCCAGATAGACGCAGCATATTTCAGCTTACTCCGAACAAGGGTTTTGTAAAAAATTAGTTTCAATGACATGGGCGCGAGAAAAAAGTCTTTTTTTTAGGTATCCAAGCATGCGATGGCCATGCGGCCTTCGATGCGCGAATCTCGCGGTAACTGCCGTTTGAATCTGTTTGCAGGCTTTCTTTTTTTCTGGTGCATAAGCGGTGTGACCCCGGCTTTGTACTTAGGATTTCATGTTCAATTCAATTCAATTCATAGCTTTATTTTCCAGATATGTCCAAAAAACCCCGAACTTTGAGATCAAGATAGCAAAAGGCAAAAAAGACGGTATTTTAGGAATAAGTGTGTTGAACACTAGGTTAGCAGTCCTAAAAAAAAAAAAAAAAGCACTTAGTTTTCTTTCATCTATTTTTAGTTTGTGACTAATTTTTCCTTTTCTCTTGTAAAGGGGTGTACTGTACAAAGGGTCAATGCACTTCTGGGTCATGACAAAATGCACTGTTCTGGTGTCCAGTTTGTATCATACTATTTGTGCTTGGGGAGGCGTTGTGCTTTAATAATAGTGAAAAACACCGTAGGTTTTACTTAAAGGAGGGATGCAACGATATTCAATTGGAATGTTTTTCACTTGACACGAGCTTACTGGCACACCTCGGACTCAAGGATACTCACACGATACGCCACTGGCCAAGAAACTCCTTTGTTGCGGTGTAATTTCAAGGACAAAAGCGATCATTTTCATTTAATCCCTCCCTTGCAAAATTTGATGACGTAACGTGGTGATTGCAGTACACCCAAGTGACAATCTTTGAATGCTGCTCATGGATTGAACCCGAGCATTGCGTGGGCACTCGACTTGGGCTCGTGATAATTTCTAGCTCGAGGAGCATTCGGGTTGTGACCCGTGTCCAATCGCTGCAACGACGACAACAGCCGAGCCAAAACAATGTCTGGAACTCAGCGCGTGTCCTGCGCTTTGCCAACCCCAGCGCGTGGCTATGATCAACTCTGGCGGCATATAATCGGCTCCAGATCACGTGGCCGCTTGTTCTGGCTGCGAGTTGAGGGGGTGAACGCTGCTCGTTTTTCCTTAATTTTTTTCTGGGACTTCTATTGCGTGGGGTGAAAAACGAACGCGTGTTTCATAGGTCATTAACGTTAGGGATCCGTTTTAAGCGGTATTTGCGCAAAGTACAAAAATTGTTGCATCGCTCCTTTATGCTTCCCAATGACTACGTTCAGGAGTGGCTATTTCAAAGTACTGGTGTTTATTGAAGCAACACTTTTTTGCAAGATTTGTCGTAGGACAGCTTGTACTCCCAGTTGCAAGAGCGATTAGATTTATTTAGTTATTTATCTTACAAATAAATAAACAACACATAATTAATTAGTTATCTATCTTGAAGTTTGCAAAATTGGAAACACATTAAATTTAATCTCAGGATATTGGAGAATACAGAATCTAACAAAAATAAACTGATAAACCACGAAATACCAACAAAAAATAAACTTCAAAAAACACACTCCAAATTTCGCGAAAAATAAACTCCGAAAACTACGGAATCCTATACCTCTTGAGGGCATCATGAAACAAAGTCACCGTCGTGTCTTGCCGTCACCCACCGCTCGTTGAGTTGGAGAGAGAGAGAGAAAAAACTTTATTGACTGAGGAAATGGGTCAAGGGGAATAGAGGTCATAGTGGTGGTGGAGGGCGAGGGGCCGAAGGCCCATCCCCTCCTGGACGTCTTCTCCTTTATTTAGGTTGGTGGTCCCGTGGTGGCGGTAGGCCGAGGCTACGAAGCGAGGCCTCCCACCTCTCCTCAGAAGGGATTTCGGGGAAGAGATCCTAAGGGCATGCCCAGATGATGTGAGCCAGTTTGGCATGGGCGCCACATAAGGGGCACGCCGAAGTTGGATAAAGGCTGGGGTGGATATGGGTCATGGTGGCCGGGTTGGGGAAAACACCCGTCTGGAGTTAGCGCCAGACGTGCGATGGTTCTAAGCTCAGGGATTTGTCCGCCTGCGGATAGATTCTGCGGGAGAGGAGGTAGTAGGTGGTAATGTCATGATATCCGATCAGACGGTCCTGCGCGGACCGGGCTCCGTGGTAGAGATACAAGCTCGGCCCAGCCCGGATAGTAAGTCCTCTGGCTAGGTCGGGGGCCGCCTCGTTTCCCTCGAGCCCAGAATGCGCAGGGGTCCAGATCAGTTGGACTTGAAGTTGCGGGGGGTTTTTGCGCAAAATTTCGAGTGCCGTTGTGGATATGCGTCCGGCGGCAAAATTTTGGAAAGCGGTTTTAGAATCGGTAATGAGTGTTGCGGGAGTAGGGTTAAGCGTTAGGGCCAGCGCTATCGCCGCTTCCTCCGCCGTTCCTGGGATGGGCGTCCGGACTGTGATCGAATCTAGCGGGTTGCTGTTGGAGTTATTGCGAACTGCGACTGCGGTGAATGCCTCGTGGTGTCTATATTCCGCTGCATCTACGTACACGACTCGGGGGTCGTTTTTGTAATTCTTGTGTGGGGCGCGGGCTCGTTGTTCCCTCCGATCGGTGTGATGCGTAGGGTGCATGTTGCGGGAGAGTGGTTTGACTCTAATGTGCGCGTGGATATCTAGGGGAATGGTTGTCGCGTCCTGATATAGGCTGTGGTGTCCTATTCTTAGATTTCGGAGAATATGTCTTCCTGTGGGGGTCCGGGCGAAGCGTTCATATTGTCCCATTAGATGGGCCTCAACGAGTTCGCTGGCCTTGTTGTGAAGGCCTAACCCTTCGAGTCTGGCAGTGGACGTGCTTGGGGGAAGGCGTGGCGCCGCCTTCTAAGCGCGTCTTATGAGGATATCGATTTTGTCAGTTTCTGCCTTGGTTAATATAAGGTAGGGGATGGAGTACACTATTGTGCTCACGACGAAGGCTTGAAGCAGGCGGACCCTGTCCTGCTCAGTCAGGCCTGTATGTTTGTTGGTGACTTTCTTGAGCAGACCTATAGTTTGGTTTACGTTTCTTTCTATGGTCTGGAAGACCGAGCGGAATGATGCCACCGGCTCGATCATCAGCGAGCTTCACTTTCTCCGCTGCCGCATGAAGCCAATGGGCAAATGTTGCGGTGCAGACGACGTACTATTTCCTCGAGAGCGAAGGGACTTGAAGAGGGCACGTAACACTTGTGGGCGGAGCTTCCACTGCCAACTGTAGTCGCCGATAATCTGTGACAGGTTAAGAATTTCCAGCAGATGCTCGGCCTCGAGCGCAAAATATATTGCCTTCGAGAGCGCTTCGCTGCACCCGTAACCCGTAATCAAAACCCCACGGAAGGCAACAATCACGTGTTGTCCGCTGAGACTAAAAGCTCCGCCCTTAGCGCGACCTTTCTGTCCTTGCTAACACAAGTGTGAGCGCGCACGCTGGCGCAACCTAAGCACTGCGGAAGCCAGCGAGCTTGTGCTGAAGGCGGAGATTCTAGTCTCAGCTCAGGGGTGAACAGAGTACATTAGGTTTTCAACATGTCACTCGCAACAGACACCGCCGATGGTGGGTGGGGCTTGCTGTTTGTTTCTTTTTTCTTCTTCTTATAAACCTATAAATTGAGCATCTCACGTACGATCGAATGCCACTCTAAGTCAGCGAGGACCGTCTAGTCACAATAGAAGCATGCCTCTGCTGCCCCGCATATTAGGCTGCCTCTTCATATTAGAAGCGATTGGCGGCGGTGCCGTCGAAAATGTGGATGAAACGAAGGATTCCAAAGACGCATGGAGGGTGAGAACGCAGTTCATACGCTTTGTTCGTCGTAGAGAACTTTAGTAGACTTCTTGTGCTATTCCACTGATGTATACGCTAGGGCTTGGGTAAATTAACAACATTTTAGCAGGCCGATCGGTACTGTCTGTGGAACGAAGCAAAAGGAGACGCTCCCAGTGCCTCCAAGCCAAGTCATCTTCAACTGATGTATCTAGAATTTTGTTCCCTTCCTGGAGTGACCCCGTCGGTATGATGTAAAAACTTAAGAAATATCTACGCATATATTACAAGAACGGCAGAACATCTTTGGACTTTCAAGTCTTAAGATAGGCTGTCCGTACTTTGTTCTTCATCTGTAATGCTTTCTTAAGTTTCTATAATGTTCTGTTGCAACATATGATTTTGGAAAGATGAAACAGCTCATAAACTATTTTAATAGTACAGATTACGCCTCGAGGTTTTCTGAACTTTTTAAAAATTTTTATCAAGAGTCAAACAACTTGTACGCAAGCCGAGCCAATCCCAGTTTTTCTATTTCTTTGGACGACATCTAGCGAGATGCTGACGTGGTGGTACCAAATTTAAAGTGTGAATGTGAATATTTTGAATGGTGTTTATACTTTTTTTCTTCGTTAATAAAAGTATCAAAATGCATTTTTTTTTTGTCACCCACGCAATGTAGACAGTACGAAAAGAAAGATATCCGGTTTTGTCACTCCATAACGTTCCTTGAGACTACGCTCAGTGAAAAACGTACGCTGAAGGGGCTTCTAGAAACCAAATAATTGTAATTGTGCTGAGAGTTTGTTTAAACCGCCGGAAGTTAGTCAGCACCAAAGGGCATCTGCTATCTCCGATGTAGAACAGAAATTCAGCCATTGCAATACCACAACTAGTTTGGGGTCTTGAACACGTGCATCAGGCAGTAGTGACACCAGACCCCACGTCGGTACGAGGTTTATTCAGATCGAAACGGGCAGAGGTGGGGATTGAACTCAGGATCGTTGGATTTTGCAGCGCCAGCTTTCGCTCTACGTGGGCGCGTCCGGAAACCTGATACTGAACCCTGGCTTCTGCAGTAAGCGTACACTATGCCGGAGCGGTTCTCTCGCAGTGGCGACCATTCAGCCTACCGTGCAGTACCCTAAGGGCTTAAAAGGTGCGCTGAGACATTCTACGGCGGATCTGAGTGACCACCTCCCTATATTTATTTATCTGAAAAACGTCCCGAAAAAGGTCTGCAAAACGAAGCGGACACTGATTCAAAAATAATTTTAGATCGACTAGTCGCTTTTGAGATTGCTGTCTCAAAGACAAATTAGAATAGTATACTTTGAGAACTTAATTCCGATGGTGCTTACAACACTTTTATTGAATAATTTCTTAGTTTGTATAAGACATACTTCCCTTTCACACTCATAAAAACAAATAAACGCATAAGAAAACCTTGGATAACTCCAGAGCTACTTTGTAAAATTAACACAAAAAACGTCTTATATGGTAAATTCGCAAAGTCAAGAGACCAGAATGATCTATCAATATTCAAAAACTATCGCAACAACCTAACGAAAGAACTACGGCGTGCGAGACAGCGTTATCATTTCGATATGTTCAAAGCCACACAGGGTCGTGCAGACGTCATGTGGAAGCAGCCAAACTCTCTTTATCATCGTAGTCGCCCATCCAGTTCTATTAAAAAAAAAAATTATGCATAACGGCACTGAACTTACTGGTTGCTCATTGGCAAATGCTTTCAACGAACATTTTGTAAATTTTGCGAGTACGTCTGCAACAAATAATGCTTCACTTTTTAGCGATAAAAAAAACATTGACACGATATTTGTAGACCTAGTGGTAGAACCAGAAGTGTTGAGTGCATTTTTTTCAGCTTAAATATAGTGGAAGCTGTGACGTAGATGGCATTCAAATGAGGCCTGTAAAGCACGTGATTCATTTGTTAGAACCTGTGATAACTCACATATTTAATATTTTTCTAACAACAGGAGTATTTCCTAAGCGAATGTAGATTGCTAAAGTCTCAGTATTGCATAAAAAGGAAGCGTAAATGAAATGGGAAATTGCAGACCCATCTCAATATTATCAGTGTTTTGCAAGGCACTCAAAAAGTCATTCATACCCAATTAACCAACTTTTCTAATAAGTAAGGCTTGATAAAAGCGTCGCAGTACTGTTTTAGAAAGCACAAATCTACGGAATTTGTCCTACTTAATAAAAAAAAATTCATTTTGCAAAGCTTTGAAAACAAACTGATGGCCCTTGGAGTATTTGTAGACTTTACTAAGGCTTTCGATTGTCTTAATCATCAAATTCTACTTTCCAAATTAGATAATTATGAAAGTCGAGGGCACGCATTAGAGCGAATATGGTCGTATCTGGGGCACGGGATGCAATATGTCAGTATTAATGAAAACTCCTCCACCATAAAACCTATTCTTTCTGGCGTACCACAGGGTAGTATTTTGGGTCTTTTCCTTTTTAATATTTATGTTAATGATATCTCCAATATTAATACAACTGCAAAATTTGTCAACTACGCTGACGACACAAGTATACTCTTTACTTCAAATAATGCTAATACCTTAATTGATATGGCAAACCTGACCCTGTCCAGATTAGAAATATCAAGTATAAACAACGCGTTGCAAATAAATGAAACAAAAACAGTGCTTTTTCGCCCTAACAATAAACTTGTAAACATCACAAAAGACCTAAATTTAAATTCTAGCAAAATTTAAATGGTAAACTCCTTAAGCTCTTAGGTGTTACCTTCTCTGAGAATATGTCGTGGGAAAATTATATAAACTACCTTATTCTAAAGCTATCCCGGGCTGTGGGCATGTTAAAACGTCATCGTTCTGTTTTTCCAGAAAAAGTAAAATTATTATTATATAATTTTCTATTCCACTCCTACTTAATTTACTGCCACTTAGTTTGGGGTACAACGACTTTCACTAATTTATAAAAGCTGCATGTGTTGCAAAAGAAAGCACTTAGAGATATAGGAGATGTCCCGTTTGACTTTCATACAGACAGCTTATTCAAAAAAATGTCATGTCATAAATGTCCACACATTCTATGATTACAGGCTTGCCACTAGCCTAAAAGTGGAGTAAATTAGAAACACGAACTTTTTTTTATAAATCTCTCACAAATCTCGAAACACATTCATAGTTACCCTACCCGCGGAGCCAAATATTGGGAGGTGGTCACTCCGAGAACAAACACAAACGCTGAAATACGCTGTTCCTAAATTATTTAATCTGTTTTTAGCAAAAAGTATTTATTGGGACAAGTTATCGTCGAGTGAAGTGAGGTCACCCTTTTTTCACTGATTATTAGTGTAGTTACTCTCCTTCCTCCGTGTTTTGTTCCTAATACTATGAGCTTGTTTTTGTTTTTGTTTGCCCGTCATGCCCTATATGTCAACATTGTGATAGTCTAAGGCATTGTGCTTAACATGTTGTGATAGCGATCATTTTCTGTACATTTGTGTTTCTCTACTGATTGCTGTATTATTTCCCCACTCTGTCGCTGCTGCTGTAGGCGGTCGGAAACCCGTCAAGCTGTACCTCACAGCTTATTTTTCCCGATCGCCACCATCATCCTATGGTGGAAAATAAACACTATTATTATTATTATATATATTATTATATACAATATCCGGAAGCAAAGTGAACTTGGCAGAGAAGGATAATGTTTCGGTCGCTCCTCTCACTCGTAATAAAACTTTTTGGGCCCTTCATTAAGGTGGAGTATCATAAGTGTCAATAAATCGCGATGGGCGATGCCTAAAAATAAAAGGATATGCGTTACAAAAAAATATCGCCAGATTAGATGAAAACAAAAATTAGATGCTTACGTTAACTTCACATTCCTTATGAAAAGATATATTCAATTCACTAGGAACAGATTATATAGTTTTAACATAGTGAAAACACCCCGATACTGGGAAAAAGAAGAGACGCACAAACACAGAGCTTTTAAACACAGCTGAATTTATTTGAGAAAGGTTGGGGTTGATATAGCGTTCAAGAACCCATGCAAACATAGAAGAAACGAAAGAGAGAAAAAAAATTACGGCATCTCCACGTGGTGAATGATGTTGAATGGGCCGAAGCTCTGGTGGTGCTGATGATACTGATTTTGTTCATAGGTAGTACTGATGGTGCTGATACTCTTTTTTTTTTATTATTGCTCATAGCTAGTGCTGAGTTCCGGGTTGCGTTTCGACTTCATTATTACAGCTTTATGGTCGGTGAAATGCAGAGGCAGTGGTTCTTCTCATCCTTCTCGTCGTTTTCATTCATGTCAGAAAGAATCTGTGGTATGAAACGTGGTTATATACGCATTTGAGCATTTGACCGCAGCGCCCTCTCGTCTATAAACGTTGAGCCAATGCATGCAAAGTTTAACGCAATTATATACGCATTTGACCGCAGCGCCCTTTCCTGTATAGACGTTGAACGGCTACATGCAACGTTTCATCCATGACATCCCCAGCTCTTGAGTTACTACCACATCTCAGAACCTCGTACTCGTCCCGCAGTCGTAGTCGAGTGGTTAAGGCAATGGACTAGAAATCCATTGGGGTCTCCCCGCACAGATTCGAATCCTGTCGACTGCGCAAACATTTTTGTTTTCTTTTTTTTGAGAAGACAGATAGGATGGCAATCGATGTGAGCATGGACGCCGGACGGACAAGGCTAGACCCTAAGGAGCTTCGCCCCTAAAAAAAACCTTTCCAAAGAAACACACAAGAGCAGTGACTTCCGGTAGAAAACGTGAAACATACAGAAAACTAATCACCTCTTCCAAAACTCTCACCCTTTGTAAAAGTGCGCACAAAACGAAACACACACACATATGCACAGACACACACACACACACGCGCGCGCGCGAACAAGCACTTTACAATTAAATGATATGGGTGCATCTCGCTTAACAAAAGACCCGAACCTGATAGGTAGAACACAAGTAAAGGGGAGAAATGATTATGAACGGGCAAACAACAAAGCACGGTATAACGAAGGGTGGAGCTTGACCGAGACAAGGCGATCAAACTTGGAGGAACCTTCTCTAAGTTCTCTGTATAAACGTAGGTAACATTTGCTTACTGCATTTCTATGACTCATAATAGTTACAGATTTTCTGCTAGGCGTTTATGGTCGTTTCTCTTCGTCAGTGCCACCGACGTTAACTGCCAGAAAGGCACACAATTCTTACTTTCCGCTACATGCTTTGTCACTTCCGAGAAGAGATCCTCGTTCTCGATACAACGTTTGTGCTCGGTGAGGCGATCGTTCAAACAACAATTTCTTTGCCTTATGTAACATAAGCCACACTCAAACGGGGTTTTGTAGATTACTCCCGACACGCAACCAACTTCTTTTGTGTGTGTGTGTGTGTGTGTCTGTGTGTGTGTGTGTTTGTTGTTGGTGTTGTTCTTTTACAGTCAGTTTTAAAAGACACAAACGGGGTCATTCGACTCAACGTAAAATCATTTCTAAACGCTGTGCTCACGCCATACTTGTTAGCAACATATTTAAGATTTTGCGAAATTTGAAGGTAGAGGAAGAGTACAACGCGCTTTCTATGTTTTTCAATATCCCCGCGCCTTTTCTTAAATGAAACGAGGAATAACAACTGCTTAAAAACGTAATCCTTGTGGTATCCAGCCGCTCCAAAATGGTCAAAGAGAAGTTGAAGAGAAGACATGATCGAATGACGGCAGGACGTTTTAAGTGCGCTACTGAAAAGATTCGGTAGCGCACTGAAAAAGAAAAAAAAAAATGTTTTTTTAATGGCAGGTATTTAACAGCAACAGCGGCTTTGGTGTTGGTTTTCCGTATTCCCAGCACGAACTGGAAGGACACTTCAGACGGAGATTTAAAAATTGTAGGCAATCATTGTTTGGTCTCTAAATAGAGAACTTCAACTCTGGAGCACCGTCGTATACAGCGTTCTCCAGTGATGCTGCTACCGTAGAATTAGTGCTGCAAACCAGGAGGTCATCTACATAGCGCCTTACAAGGACTTCCAATGAGAGCATGCAGCTGAAGATTCAAATAACTTAGATAGATCTCTCATAGAACTAGAGCCACTGCCGAACCGATGCGAACTCCCTGTTTCTGAATGGAATCCCGTTTTTCGTACCGAACGAGGGTTGCCTGCTGATACAACACAAAAATCTTAAAAAATAAGCGGTGGCGACTCCAGACTTCGACTGAAAGAGAACAAGATTGCCCTCCAAAATGTCTAACGGGAGCGAGTAAATTCTTATGTTGTAATGAGAACTAGAGGTTTCTTATATCCATCGAGAATATGGTGCGTTGCTTACCGTGGAAGGGCTGTAACTTTGTAATAAGTCATCTGAACAACGCATGGATAAGTACTGCCGACTTCCAGAACTGTAAAACACTACGAAAGTAAGATAAAACCTGTTTCTATTACGCACCGTTCTCATTCACCACAACTCCGATAGAAAGGTCTTTCTTATGATATTTTAATTAAATTAAATTAAGAAAAACTTGAATCTAAAAGTGTCTCTTGATACACCTTTCAACCAGGAGACCTGCGACGGAAATTCACCATATTTAAGAGTGCTGACGATGTCACTATCTTTGAAGATGCCACATGACTCACAACCGTATGGATAACTGCGGATTTCTTACTCTAATAATCTTAGTATATTATATAATATATATTCAATCAAGTGCAAGGTATTGATTATTTCGCTGTTTAAATCGTTTCAAAGAAAAATATAAAAAGTAAGGAGTTGAAAGCTGAATAAAGTTATGCCAAATCGAGAAATCGGCGAAAGGCTAACCTGGGATGCCGCGCTAAAAAAAAAGGGTATCACCATACACCCTTTTGTCCCATATAATACACCCCAAAACTTCATTTCGACGTACAGCGCCCTATAGTCGAACAGACGGCACGAAATTTTACCAGGGGCTTGATAACGGTGCGATATAACTTATTAAATTGCTAAAGTACGTATCAAAGACCAAAGAAAGAAAACACAAAGCTTTTGCAGTACGGCCAAGAAAACTCCGATAATATTTTTTGTAGTCAATAATACGTACATCAGCTATCTTAATAAGTTGTACCACAGGGCAGCCCCTTGTAAACTTTGGGGACGCCTGTTCGATTACGGGGCGCTGTACGTCGAATTGAAGTTTTGGGGTGTATTATATGGGACAAGGGGTGTAATAATACACCTTTTTTCCTGAGAGTGGCCGCGGTGTGGAAATGCATAAAAGTAGACTACTGATATGTCTGCGTGAAGTATTACTTGCCTCCTTGGCATGAAGCATAATCTCATAGAACTCAAGTCATAACTTGTTTGTGTGTAAAGTTACTTATAAATAGACCGGTGGTCGAGTGGCCTAACACACACCAACTCGGAGCAAGGGGAGCGAAAGCTCGCGCTGCAGAACCCAGAGATCCCTGGTTAAATCCCCACCTCTGCCCGCTCCGATTTGAATGAGAATCGTACCAGCGTGCGCTCGTGTATCACGACTCACTACTGCGTGATGCACGTTGAAGGCCACATGCTCACTGACTAAAGTCTCACCTACATCTGGAAAGCAAGGACCGGCTTGCTAGAACAGCGTCTCATTTGAGGCTGGATGAAAGAAAGCAGTGCAAAGGCTGGGGCGCGTGAGCGTCTTGAGACGCGGTTTGAGACCACGTCAGCTCGTGCGCCGGCTTTGGCACTGCTTTCTTTCCCTAAGTCTAAGCTTAGACGCTGTTTCTAGCAAGCTGGCCCAAACGCCCATTGGAGTTGACTGACTTCCGGCTGCACACACATACACACGACACAATTATTATTTGTAACAACTAATATGTTAAATGATAAACGTAATAAACGCTATATACTTCTCTAGCTCGTACGATTTCAATCAAGATAATCACTTTTCTTGCCTACATAGCATCGCTTCCTGTAGCTCCTGTTAGTTGAACATTTATCAGCAACAACGACAGTAATGTATTTTTTTATATTCCATCAGTGACTTGACTCAAAAGGCTGAGATATTCGATCAGTTTTCGTATTTTTTAAAAAAACTATTGTTCAATTTAAAGTTACTAATTCGGCTCGTTCAGCGACTCCAAACTACAATGCGAAAATATTTGAATTTCGCCACAAAGGTTCATCCTCTCTATAATATCTCCCTTTATTTAGATTCGGTTTGTAACAATTGGAAATTTAATTGTGAGCAAGAATTTTTATAACGAGCTTTACTGGAGCTAAGCTCATTTTCACCACAATAAAAAATAAAGTTTTGCGCATTGTTCTTACGCCGCGCTAAGTAGTTCTTGCAAGATTTGGTTGTCGGAGAAAGAAGCGATGCAGTTGGCTTTTTAAGCGTGCACTCTGAGGAAAAAAAAAAGCCTGTACATCTACTTTCCCGCACAACACTCGGAGAGCCAATCAGCGCAACTTACGGAGGCAGCTCAGCGAATGACGATGCCGAAACACCTGTTTAGACCAAGAGAACGCAGTCTGAGTTGTGACATTAAGCAATGCAGAACGTCACGCTTGCATTGCTTAATGTCACAGCTCAGACTGCGTCTTTTGGTCTAAACATATGTTTCGCAAAGTAGACGCACGGGCTTTTTTTTTTAGAGTGTGTACGTCTTGACAAGATAACATATATCGAATCTTTTTTACTGGGGTTGTTTTGGTGAAAACAAAGGAGTATAGGTTGCTTATCGCGTTGCTGGTGTGGCCACTCTGAATAATTCAACGATACACGTAAGGAAGAAATGAAAGAACAGCTGTTTTCAAGTCGCAAAATGCCTTTCGTATTCAGTTTTCTTTTTTTTTTCTTTTTTGTAGCTGTTATTTTTATTGTGATAAAAGAAACGTACACAACTCTGAGAAAAACAGGAAAATAAGAAATGGGCGTTTACACCGCAGCTGTTGGCTTATGCATTCATAACTTTTCCTTTTGACCAATGTCTGGGGTTACACTGAACATTAAAAGTAACGGACACAAAAACGTTTTTGCCAATAACGTGGCTATTATATAAATGTTAAAAATGTACGCTAAACGCTATTCGTGGTGGTGTTTTCATAGTGATCACACATGGTATAGCCCGAATCGATAATTATTTTGTTCTTTAACAGGAGGTCAATTTAACGGAAGAATACCACTCTAAACTATTGTTTTTGCGGCGCTAAAACATACAGAGTTACTAAATGCATAAAATCAAACCCCTCTTCTCGGTGGCTTAATATAAAATGAAAAAATGCCGGATAAATTAGCAATATTCACGTTTTGCACATTTCTTTTTTCAGACAATCACGCAGATGGGGAAGGATGAATATCTCTTAATGTTCCGCTCATCCAAATATGACGGACGCCTAGGAAGCGTTGCACAATACGTTCATATGAGATTATGTGAATACAATAATGCGACACAAACTGCAATGATCAGGTTTATGCATAGCGACTCGAGTTCGGCCTTCTTGTAAGTATCTAAACTTTTTAATATCTAAACAAAAAAACTAACATACTTCGAAAATTATTTGACACTTCCGCTACTTCTAAATTTCCCCAGGTTAGGATTGACACAACTCGCTACCGTGCCACAATTTCCAGAAAATGAAACAAACATCATCCGCTTCAAGAACTCTGACTCGTGCGACCCAGGTAGGTATGATTTGACCTTAACATGTGCTACGTTTACATGAATCCGATTGCAGCGGATCGAATCAAACAGGGACGAATCGCACGCAGCCTGCGTTTCTACGTTTTCCTCTTCTCCCCTTCTGCTACCAATCAGAACTGTCAAATCTCGATTCGATGCACTACGCTCTAAAAAATGTTTGTGCGTCTACTTTCACGCACAGCACTCGGAGAGCCAATCTACGCACCTTACGGAGGCAGCTCCGCGAATGACAGTGCCGAAACATATATGTTTAGACCAAAAAACGCAGTCTGAGTTGTGACATTAAGCAATGCAAAACGTCACGCTTGCATTGCTTAATGTCACAACTCAGACTGCGTCTTTTTTTTGTCAAAACATATATTTCGGCATCGTCATTCGATAAGCTGCTTTCGTAAGTCGCGCTGATTGGCTCTTCGAGTGTTGTGCGGGAAAGTCGATGCACGGGCTTTTTTTAGGGTGTACGGTAGTAACCGTTGACTTAATAATAAAATAATGTCCCTAGACTATGTCATTATAATTCCACAGCCAAAAGGAACGGTAGCATATTTTAGCCGATGAGAACTCAAAAGAACAACTCAGGAAGCTTGAAGTGCGAACGTAATATACCCGATGTTAGTGGCATTATAAATATCCGTATTTATGCGGTATGATGAATATATATAAATCCTTGCAATATTGAATAAACAATTAATTATATCTTGTTATAAGGCAGCTTGAGCCCATAAAGAGAAGCTGACTAGTTGATTGTGAATAGTAAGTTTAGTACCCCTGCCACACGGGAAAGTTAATACCCTTTCATTCAATGATATTATAGGATTAAATCAGCTCGCCTTTCCAAAACACGCTCCTAGGCAGTCACCATGTTGCTGATGCTGATGCGGCTGGTGCGACTCTCGCACCCCCTATCAGCTAGGACTGTGAAAACCTGCTCAGCGCGGTTCTCTACCTACGTTTTTGCGGTTTTGCATTCGACGTTCTCTGGCCCTCTTGAAAGTTTCCACTTAATTTTTTTTAACGCATGCTGCGTACACTTTCTCTGTCATCTTCCACTATGAGAAATAAGGCTGGTAAGTGCCTGCCATTCAAGCGTTTAAGGTCGACATTCAGGGGAAACGATGGAGGGGAAGGACGTCGAATTGCCCTCGACGCGATTCTGCGAAGAATGGAAACCGTTCTCCCCCCCTCCCAGAGATAAACCGCGTAGAGTCCTTCTCAGTCATAGCCAAAAATAGTTGTTCGGGTTGAAGTCATTCGCGGCCGTTTCTTTGCCTTGGTGCTGCCGGGTATGAAAAAGTAAGCTCTCCCCAAAACGTGCCCCAAAACGAAGTTATCTTGAATTCCATCAGATCGTCAAGATAATAATCTTTATTTTGTTGTGTCCACAAACAGCACATAGCCTAAATAGTGATACACAGTTCATCATTCGAAATGAAATGCAAACAGCCACATAGACCCAAACCTATACACCAACTCATGTTTACAAACAAACCGGAGCGCCCGGAGCGCCCCTAGCGGACGCCACCGGCGCCGCGCATGCGCGATGGGGGTGTGGGCAAAAAGCTCGCCGTCGCCCATAAACAAACCATTGAAATGCGATGTTGTCGGCGTCGGTGTGAGTCCCCCTGCCCTTTTTCGCGTTCGAATTGTTGGTTCTACGTTTTGCTGGCGATGTCTGACTTCTTGAGCGGTGTCAGCGAAATTACTGAGGCTGGTTACACCGCAAAACTTCGCGTGAGTAATGTGACATGCGGCGATTCATTCCGCGTGGACGCCGCAGATTGTACGCTAAAGCATGATTCGCATAATGAGATTTCGCTCAGAATTTTCAGTCGCGACGCCGCTCGGGCGGCAAAAGCGTGAACCGTAGCTGAGATGGTCGACAACGATACTGAAAATCGCAAGCAGAATCGGACCAACTGAATTAGGCATAACAAGTCGGTGTTGGTCACTGGTAACAATGACCAACATCTCCTCGTATTTACTGTTTACATCCAGCCTACTTACCAACCTTCAAATTTAAGTATTTTGAGGCCTGCACTCACTTCTTATCGCAAGTACCGCGCCAACATTTGGTCTATACGGACCGGCGTCGTCTAAGAGAGAAGACGACAAGCAGAAACGTTTGAAAGAGCAGACGACAATTCGAACAATCAGGCGGCCGTTTGAACTTGAAGACGCACTGAACGTACTCCGCAGGTGGTCCGCACAATTTGACATTTTTCTCGCGTTCATGTTGGAAGAAAACAAATAAATCTGATGGCCACAAGTATCCGTGAATTCAACCCAAAGTGCTTCCCGCCCAAGCAATCGTTGTCCGACGGCGTCTGCTTTTCCCTTTTCACGGCACATATCCAGATTCTCGGACGAACCGAGCACGTGAAAACTGACCTTCAAACCTTTCTCACACTTTTGTACGGCCCCAGTCGCGGCGTTTTGACGAGAAGTTAGGTTTTAGTCTGGTTCCTTTCAAAACAACGCAGGAATGCACGTCTGGCATAGGGACTTCTGCCCACAGCCCCAGACCGGAAATGCGACCGACGCGCCACCACCGCGCCGTGACGTCACAGAGATGAGTTCGTGTATACACAAATTATCGACTCCAGTGTACGTCGAAAAGTTGTCACGTCACTAAAAACGCGACTGTCGTCGACTGTGACTATTATTTAAGATATTTCTCAGATAAACTATTTTCAGGATAATAAATTAATAAATTATTACAATAAATTATTTGGATGTAATAAACACTTGCTTAATTGTATATCCGTGTGCTGTCCATCGGTAAACACGGTATTTGTGAGCGTGAAAAATGCATGCTTTCCGCTATCTTCTGCTGTAAATTATTTTCGACAACTTGTAGTTTGACACGCGGCTAATCAAACGGCGCCGTCAAAAGTTATCGTAAAAAAAAAAAAATGACAGCTAACATCCCAGTCGCATTCGTTCTGTCGCGCGCGTACCCAACAAAAATAGTTTACAGTTTTTTTTTTTTGTTGTTTTTTTTTTCAAATGTCTTACAATGAACGAGAAAATAGTCAAAGTACAGGCTAGCTGGTGGAAGTCAACCATTTCGTCGTTTACCCTGAGACTGGAAGGTTTTTTGAAGAGCAAAAGTAACAGAAAAAACAGACAGGTCTCAAACTCAGCTACACGTTTATTTCAACAACTTCCTCTTATATAGTTCGTTCTCGTCGTCAACAACCAATCACATACGACTTGTCCTTTGCACCGTGACTTTACAGGTTCCACTCTATCACAAAAGAAGCGGACACTCCCAACGTTTCCAAGTGAAAACGTTCTAGCAGAAGATATGCCTCACAAAGCTTCAAGCAACTCTTTTGTGTCCTCACAATAAACAGGACAACAGCCCACAACAACATCCCACTCAAAACTGGTCACCTCCAAAATTGTAGAAAACAGACAATACACACCAAAGAAGCCTTCCAGGACGACTAAAAAAAAAACACTTAAAACCGTAAAAATTGCTTGTAGCGGTTCCCTATTTGCATGGAAGGTTGACTAATGCAATTTCCCAACGATCTAATCCTAATTGTTTCTCTTACCACCCTTTTAACATCGTTGCTTTCCTTAACAACTACATCCGTGCCAGACCAATTCGTTGTGCAGTTTCTACACTCCTCCAGATGCTTAGCCAACTCCGAATTTGCTGCATTATTTTTAACATTCCTTTTGTGTTCTGTTAAACGATCGTTTAAACACCGAGAGGTTTGGCCTACATACTTAAAACCACACGCCAAGGGAACCTCATACACCACGCCTACGCTACACGGCACCGACTTTTCCCTATGCGCCTTCTGACAGCCCCTCTGAGCCGTTTCAAAAGGTGTCAATCTATCTAACCTAAAATCCGTGCTGAATACGACATCCACGCCATATTTTTTTGCACATGCTCTAAGATTGTGGGACACCTCGTGAAAATACGGAACCACAGCGTACCTATTCCTGATCTCTTGCGTCTTCTCCTTTTTCTCCCTGCAGTGTAGGGCAATCTGCCTTTTGATGTACTCTTCCCCATATCCTGCCATTACCAGTCTTTCCCACTGGTTTTTTAGTGCCTCCGGTCCGAAATGCATGCATGATCTCACCAAAGCATTACTAATCAAAGATCTGACTACCCCGGCTTTTACATTTTTCGAGTGACAGCTACTCTTTGACAGAACCGGTTTTGGGTTTTCCTTCCCATACTCCCAACAAAGACCTCGTTCCAAATGTAAACGCAGGTCGAGAAATTGCAGGACCTCGCCCCTTGGCCTCTCTACCGTGAATCTCAACTCTGGCGCCGCTGACCTTACTACTTGTTCTAAAACTTGGTCCAATCCTTCCTGAACAGAGCAAACTAAGATATCATCCACAAATCTTTTCACAAAACACTTTGGAGACAACTCTTCTACCTTGTCATACACTTGCTGGTCCACCGTGTTTAAGTAAATTTCCGCTAACAAAGGCGCTACAGACGAACCTATACAGACTCCCTCTTTTTGCACAAAATTGCGACCTTCGTATTCCAATACCGTTGACTTTAAGTAAAGGTCTAGCACCGAAAGAAAACTATCCACCGCTATTCCTGTTCCTGATTGAAACTTAATAAGGTTCCCTTCCAAGGCGATCCTCACTCTATTCATTAGTCTGCTTTTCTCTAAAGAGTAATATAAGTCCTTGATGTCCATGGAGAATACCGCGCACTTCCTTCCGTGAAACTTTTCCATTACTTCAATCAACTCACTAGAGTTCTTTAAGGCAATTGACTTCTCCAAATTAGCTAACTTCAAACCCCGCTGTAAGAAGCATGAGACCACCTTCTGCCACGTCCCATTCTCGTTAACAACGGTACGTAGGGGCATTTCAATCTTATGATCCTTCAAAAAGAATTTAAGGGGGAGCGTTGAACGCAACGGTTTCAAAGCGCTTTTCGCTACCTCTTCCATGCTTTCCTCCTGAAAAACCTTGCAAATGCTCTTCCTCAGCTTCCCGATATTGCCCTTCCATTCATTAAACAATGATCCCAACGCTTCCTCCGACTTCTTCTGAAAGGCCTGTACAGGCAAAACTGCAAACCTTCCTGTTTTACCTGTCTGCAACAGTTTTAACGAACTCCTTTCTAATGCTTACAATGCTTTCTTAATGTCCTCGAGAAAATACATACACCATGAAACACAAAATACAGTAGGAAAAGACGAGAATTTAGCCGCCAGCAGTGCTTGGCGGTGATTGTGACACTTGTCTAGCCGTGTCCGCGTTGACAACATCTAGCTGATTTTTACTGTGATCTGTTTTACTGTGTCCAATCACTGCGTGTCTCGCCATTTTGTGAAAGTAATTTTGTATAAAATATACATTCCTGCAGCAATAATTGCGTGACTTAATCTTTTTGACTTGAAACAATCACATTTTTTGTAGACGTCTTGCACGTATACCTCGTGAGATTTCGTAACGTTTATTTAGCGGTGTAATATTTTGCCCATGTAATCAAATGTTTTTTTAGCCTAGTTGCTATGTTCAGCTTTATTTTAGCTAATAAGACACGCGTATGTGACTGAAAGCGCATTGTTACGACGGTCGATCCACGCGCGCTGACTTCGGTTCGGCGCGTCGGCGCGCGTCCCACATGGCGTTCCTTCGCGACGTCACGAGAAGAGCGCTACGGCTTAAAGCTTTTAGGAAGTGTTGCGTAAAGTCTCGACTCGACTCCTCGCGGCAAAAAAGGCGAAAACAGTTTTTTTTTTTCTATTATTTGCACGCGTGGCGATGACAACCCACGAGGCCGAAATCTCTGCGAAGTGTCGTCCGAAAAGCTATCGTTTAAAAACACAAATTCTCGTAAATTACTAGGCAGTTGCATTTTTCAGCAGGAATAAATTATTTTCTACATAGCGGCACCATCTAATGTACATAATTCTGAACTTCCAATAGAGTTTATTTCAGTTTCGCTTTTTTACATCAAACCTTGGTTCATGAATTAACGTTCCTTTGATAACGAATTGATGTGTGGAGCCAGTTTTTGAAGCTTCTATAGTCCATACTGACATTTTGTAAGGAATGCAACTGTGAGCTTTTACATTATACATTTTCATAGCCTTTTCTTATAAAATCTTAAGCCTAAGGTATGCAAAAAATGAAAGTTTTTCTTGCTTTTTTTATTTTCCTTTAGAAATTATATAATTTCCGTAATTTATATGCACAGTCCCATAACAAGGGTGTTTCAGTGTATGTTTCACCAAAAGAAACGGCCAATTATTATCGCCTTTTTTAAACGATAGCTTTCCTCAAAGGGAGCGTGTTTATTTGATGTACCTTTGTAACGCTTTGAATGATAAATTTATAAGCTCAAAACTTTGTACGTCACCCTTTTTCCCTGCCATGAATGTGCCGTGAAAAGTTTATACAAATAAGACTAACGGTTAAAACGTTTGCCCTCTCGAGTAGTGTCCTCCGTAAACGTACCGCTGCTCAGAGCACGTGGAACGAAGGCTCACGCTACATTACCCATGAATCCTGGGCGCGTCCCCCACACCTGCCCGTTTCGATCTGAATGAGCACCTTACCTGCGTGCGGTCGTGTATCACTACTGCGTGGTGCACGTTAAAGACCTCAGGCTAGCGGTTGCACTGCACTTACTAAATTTCTCATCTACAACAAAGACACCCGACGCCCACTGGGGGTGACTAATCTCCGGTTGTCTAAACAAGTGCACAACTGGTTGGAAACACTAAAGAAGGTATAACATGAGTGAGCAATCTTGGTGCAGGCTCGTAAGGTACTGCGTCCTGATAGCGAACCTTATACTTCATTTTTACACAGACACCCGCGCTTTCCGGCGGCTGGATGGGTAGGTGGATAGATACTAACGGCTGTACCCTTTGTAACAGGCGGCAGCTTGCGACACCTGGCCTAAAAACCGAAATGCCAAAACCCACACTGGTTGCGAGCCGTCGGAGGCTTAGCTTAAACTAAACTGGTTTGACGTAAACAGTGTCTTCAATTTTGGGGGCAAGTGATTTAACCCGCTGAGAGCTTCTGAAGCAATCATATTTACATAGGTAAAAGGATACCATATGATCACATTTTTTGTTTGATTCGCCAACAGCATCATTTTTATTGCAGCTGAAACAACTTCCCTAAAGGTTTGCATAGGTGGTAGTATAAAAGAGAACTTAGAAATGTACAAAACTGTTGGTGGTATCTTGGCTCAAATATGCTATCTTGATCTAGGGTCATAGCTTGATAATTTGTTTTCATTTTATATGCACTTCATGGATGTCGCATGCCGAATTTAAGATTTTGAGATGTTTGTGTAGACATTTAAAATTTCTGTGTACTTTTTTTTATTTTTTTACATAGGTAATGATGTTTTGACTGCTGACTACGAGGTTCTCTACTCAAATTACGAAACCTGTTTTGTATTGAAGCTCCGGAGCACCAAAGAGAAACGTAAGAGCTCAGAAACTCTTTTGTTCAATGAGAACCAGTTATCCTTTTAGGAAATCTTAATTGAACAATGTAATTCATGCATATCCGTAACTCTATAATGTTTTAAGAATACGTTCTGTCATAATCGGCCAATAGTCCTAAATTAAAAGACTACACTTCTTGCTTATGACCCTCTACGAAATTCATACCTTAATGTGAAAGTCGAACATTTTTTTCTAACTAAAGTAAACTCGTGACATTCTACGTTCCTAATCTTGTCACCAGCACAGCTTGAAAAGCGACTGACTAGTTAGTCAATCCACTTTCACTTTGGTGAGAACGCACCGACATGTGAAAAATACGTTTAAGTATGCGATTGTCTATTTCTACATCAAAAATAATGCCTCATTGTCAGCGTTTAGAATCCTAAAGATGCAAAGCTTGTAAGTTGTTTAAGTTTAACGTACTACACCAAATACCTGTCAATGTACTGTCTACAACTGCCTCTATCTTGTTTAGGGTTTTCTTTTTTGCCTAGCACTGACCATCTTGAATAAATTATTTAACTGAACATTACGTTTTATTGTCTGATTGGTTTATAAAAAGATATATCATTGGTCATTTTGGTTATCTCTAATGCCTTAGTCCCACTAAAGCGGCAAACAGAACCAAACGATAGCGACAAACCTCAAACCAGAGTCTTTCGCTATTCGACAGGCTTTGTAGAATAAAGCATGGTATGCTCAAACACGAGCATCATGCACGCCAGGGGATCTTGGGCAGGCTTGCAATCACTGGTGCTTACCTTCACGAGCACCGAACTACCAAACGCCTGCCAAAGATGAAATCGCGAGCATGCTGCATGTGTTTGAGGCTTGTCGTTGTCATTTGTTTCTATTTTTCGCTCTAGTGGGACCAGGGCATAAAAAGTAAATATTCAAAATATGTTGATGAATCATACTCATTGAGTATGATTCATAAAAAGCCGCCGGAAGACGAAACTTGGCAGCTTTTTCATCTTTATTCCCATTCGGTCAGTACGGTTCATTCATGTGCGTATTTCGACCAAACAAAAGCATACCTATATTTATATGTATGTTTATTATCTCAACCAAGCGTCACGTATGACGCCGTGTAGATATATTTTCACGGATGTTGGTTTGAGCGTGCTGAAAGTATAATAACCGTCATAAAAATTTAAATTTTAGGTTGTGAGCTGTGGGTTAAGGAAGGATTCGAAGTTCAGTTCGAAAATGAACCCCATAAGGAGCCTACTGATGCCGACGAACGTGAAATGGAAGATAAAGAGGTTCAGATACGAATGACAGGTGGACTTGGACATTGTGTTCAAACGTACATCAAAAATTGTGGACATCTGCGGAACAAGATTTACAAGAAAGAAATGTGTAGCTTATCATCAATAACGAAAGAGACAAACGCCACGATGACATTTTGAAAAGTTAGTTGAGTACAACGCCATGCTTCAAGTTGATATCGCTATCGATTTACGCTGATGTTCTGAGTAACAAATCCACACAATAGAGTGAAGTCAAGAATTGGAAAAAAAAATGTAATGGCATACTCCAAAACCAAATAAAAAAACCGGTTCTATAAGGGCGAAGCATCTGTTGTCTCCTCATCATTGTGTAATTTTTTAAATTACTTTCTTAAAACATACGTTCTTTTTTTAATTTCCCTTTAAAAAAAACCTCTCCTTTAGTGTTTCATTGGGTGTGTTCGTGTTTAAAATTAGGATATGAACTCTTCTTTCTGTGTTTATCTGCGTGTACTACACTTCCATTTTTAACTAATGCATTTTTAATAACCTGCTGCTCTAATAAATTGCACACATTATAAAAAGTTAGTTATTACAAATTCTAAATACACGTCCTCACTCCGAGTAGAACTTAGATTGACAGGGCAATGAAGATGGCGGAAAGTCGCAATAAAATGCAGGCGCGCCAGGCAAGCGCTGACTCCTGCCCAGGGCGTCGAACCGAACTTGAGCCCAAACCAAAAACAGGAGTACAACAGTTATTTTTGGCTTAACCGAAACAAAATCAAAACCGAAATCGAACACCTGATATTGAACCCGGACCGAAAGAAAGCCGTAGTCTCATGTGGCGGTTACCGGTTCATTTGAAAATTTTGCAGCCCACTGTGGTGTCCTTGACCGATGTGTGGTAAGTTCTAGCTCGAGACGCTAGATATGCCTCGTTCCAACCTGCAATGCGGCCAATCAAGCTGCGCCAAAGCTGCAACGTCACAGTGTTCGTCATTTTTCTGGGCATGTTCTCTCACCGGCTAAAGCAATCAATAACAGTGAATGCGCCTTTTCTTTTTTCTTTTTTTTTTTCACAATGAAGCTTGGGATTACGCTTCACCCTTTGATGTCCAGCATTGCCCAGGAACAACAACTCAAACATGATTCTTTTGCTCCCCCGAAACCAGCGAATCTATGCAATGGACTTCTTCCAAAACCGACGCGCCCCATCGCGGCGAAATACCACGCAGTGCACTCTGGGAACTAGTTGGCCACTCAGTTTCGGTTTCGACTGAGCAGTTTCATCTCATGTTATCACGCCGCGACTGAGCGCGCTGCTTGCGTTGTCGATTATCTGACTTTTCACGAACGTACAATACACTCATTCTCGAGCGATACAAAACGAAGACCGGGGCACTTTCCTTGGTTCCCGAAACACCAGATATTGTGCGTGCGTATGCGAACGTAGTACGTCGTGGCTTAGTCACCTCACCCCACGAGTGCATCTTTGAGCTCAATGTCAGTAATCCCGTCTAGTACCAGTGAACTACAACTGAAATTTGTTCGTCTGGAGCCTTACACGCATTTTGTTTGCCAAACGTCCGCTTCTTGTTACTTCATTGGGCAAAAAGCAAGCCGCATCCTCACAGGGTATCAAAGTTGAGGCCAGCGTTTACGCATGAACTTTTAAGGAAACGCAATAAATTCGACCTCACTACTGCACAAAAGTTACTATGATGTCTTCCTCGTGTCATCATATATCTCCCACTCAAATTTTACGCTGATAGAAGGTTAACTTTTCGCAAACGCTGAGATCGGCTAGCTACGACGGAGGCCCTTAACAAGCGTCCCCTACTCCTCGCTAAGCCTTTTTGGACGAGCTTTTACTGACGCCAGAGATATGTGCCGGGAACGGTGTCTGAAATTATCTCGGCATACTCAGTCAGGAAGAAAGCAAACACATAACAAATATCATGGCCATTACCAACCGTCAAATGCGTTTTGAATTCGTTCGAGCACTTGTCTGAAGAATGTCGCACCGTGCGCCGGACGGGCATGAACCCCAATGCGGTGCGCAAAAGGGTTCATGCCCGTCTGACGCACTTCCGGCGAACGGTGCGACATTCTTCACACAAGTGCTCGACTTTTGCGTTCTTAATGCGCATACGCGATGTTGAATATTAGTGAAATGCAAGCGGTTGGGGACTTCACTTCGTGCAGTGCTGCGTGTCAGTACAGGTAAAGAGATAAGAAATGTGTTAAAATTGAGCTTTTCAATAGCACCTCCGAGTTTTACCTCGCATAATCAGGCACATTAAGAAAAACAGTAATTGCAAAAAGAAATATTTCGTCTAAGGACGCACGAAGCAAACAAACTTCCTGATCAACAACACTAATGTAAAGGCGCGAGCTCGATACATGCATACTTATTGTTTGCTACAGCTTGTTGATTCGTACACAAGCAAGATCCCCGAGCACCGGAGCTTCGCAGCGTCGAGACTCCCAGCACTGGCTCGTCCACATACCTCGATTGGAGCGCTAACAGGAAGGCTCAAGTACAAAATACAACAACCATGTGTTAAGACAAGCTATACTTCTCGGGCTTGTGCTAAAGCTTCGAGGTCTGGCCATTTAGGCTAGTTTAGAGACCACAAATGACGCTCTCGGGACCAGAAAACGATCTCTTGTCGACGTGTCGATCGAAACCGAAACCATGCCACCCTCCTCCCTGGCCAACTAGTTCCCAGAGTGCAACGCGCGCCGTGTTGCATGCAGGGCTTTATGGAAGTAGTCTATTAGCGCCATCAGCCGCAAGGCCGAGGCGACGTGAGCTTCTAGAAATAAAAAACAGAGGGCGGCACTTGTCCGCTTTCACTCGTCTGCTACACGCGTCTGGACCGGCGAGCGACCTCGCCCCGCCACTCTGCCAGGTGAGCGAACATCGATGAAAACAAATGCAGGATGTGATAATGAAACAAATCCTTGATTGAAATCTTCTACTGATGGACTAAAAGAGACGTATGTGGAGTGAAAATGAACTTACATTTTGTGAAAGCTCAGTAGCAGCCTCACAACTATGATGTTGCCCAGGAGCAACATCGGGCATATGTGGGTAGCAGGCATGGAGAATAGAAGGGTAGGAGAGGGCATGACGTCGGCCGCGTAGCCTCCACAAGCCGTGCTCCCTTGACGCCTCGCCTCCTTTCTCATTTTCCTCCTTACTCTCCTCACTTACCATGCCGACCTAACCACATCCCGTGACCGTAGCTAGCCTTCGTCTTGCTATGGGGTACTAGAATACACCACAGTCTAGACTTTGATCTCATAGAACCTACCGGACGGGGCGCGTGCAAGCCTGCAAGGAGTCCTTCTACAATCAACCATCCATCTCACACGTGACATGTCACGCGCACCAATCGCCAGAGAGATCTGCGGTCACGCTGGGCACAAAATCGTTTAAACTTTTTATGACTAGGCTTCACCAATATTGCAACGTGCCCCCTCCTAGTACTTCTAACCTCCTTGGTAGCAGGGATGGGCAAAATACATGCAGATATGGATCGAAATACAAATACAAAATGCTTCGTCAAAAATGTATTTGATTACAAATCTAATTACAAGTCCAAAAAAAAAGCATTTAAGTACAAGATACAAATGCAACATAATGTATTTGGTCTCCTACAAATACTTTTCCAAATACATTCCTCAAAATTTGCGTCAGCGACTTCAGGGCACCTGCAACGGGTTTCTGGGGATCTCATCTTAATTTTTCATCACACACTCGGAAGTTAGTGTGCGAGGCTCTAGTAACGGAACAGAAATATAATCACAAAAAAAAATGTAATCAGCTTGGACATAATAGGTGAAAAAAGTACAGAGCTTCAAGCAGCTTTTTTTGGCGATTACATTTTGGTATAAACCAACAAAGAACCGAGACCACCAAGACGCGAAGCACTAGCTAAAGAATTTTGTATTGTTGCAACTCGCACCAGTTACGAAAATCTGGACGACCCGGGCTTTTAGAATGTTCCAGGAAAAAATGCGGGTGGAAATCAGGCTGGAAAGCATCACAAGTTGTCACAGGCACTTATTTGGCCAGTCAGCCTGTGAACGTCGATTTCGTCACTATTCTTGCCCTGGACTAGCACCGTAATCACAAAGTCACTAAACGCTTGTGCTTGATTGAGAGACACTGCATTCGGTGCAGAATGTAGTTTTCTTCCTGCTCTGAAAAGTGCCTTTAAAATAGAGCCGGAGGAGAAAACGAAAAAATTCCCATGGCCGAATAAAGGATGAAGACTATATCTTACAACTACACGCATAAAAACAAAAATTGTAACTTTGGCAATAACATTTATTTAACGTAATAGAGGCAAGTGCCGCGGGCGCCCGGCGTGCCCGGGCGCCCGCGGTGAGCGAAACGCGAGCTGGCGCAGGACTGGTGCATAAAGAGATGAAGAGTTTCTTGGTTTGTTGTTGCCGTTGGCGCTGAGATGAAGAAAGAGCAGCTTTGGACACGTTTTAGGATAAGCAAAATGAGTCATGACAATAAATTTGAGGGATGGATTTTGCCCGCAAAATTGTATTTAATTACAATTGTATTTGAAATACCCACCTCTTAGTAGTTAAATACACACGTCAAATACATTACCCAATTTGTAATTAAATACAAATGCAAAATACACAAAGTATTCGAAATACGTATTTCAAATACTTGTACTTGAAATATTGCCCATCCCTGGTAGCATTGGTATTGGTGACGAAGAATTGGTGGCCTATCTGTTATGGTTCACCCGCGGCTAAAATCTTCAAATACGAATGACTTTTATAATTAATTATTTTTGCACATAAAATAAAAAATAATATAAATATTTATCTCGTGTACGAGCGACACTGCACGCAATTCTGCATCAAAAAGAAGCTTTCATCTGCTCGCTTTCCGTTCTCAAATCGCATAAGCCCTGGCACACGTGAAGGCCAAGCATTTGCCTCCACGTGAAGCCCAGCCTCCCCCCCCAGTTCTCAGAGTGTGTGTGTGTGTGTGTGTGGGGGGGGGGGGGGGGGGGTAAGGCATGTGTTTTGCCCCCCCCCCCCCCTCCCCCTGAAACAGCGGCCACTGGGCTGGGCAAACACTGCCCGGCGGCGCCAAAAGGACACCAAAGGCACCACCCCCAGGCCCCGGGGAGGGGGGG